AGCTCCACTGGGTTTCGGGCCCGGTTGAGGCGGTCGTTGAACCGGGCCCGGTTCTGGTCCGGCTGCCCCGTGTAGGGCTGCATTAGCCAGGGCATCAGGGTGTAGGCTGCAACCCCAATGACACATATGGGCATAGGCACATCCCTGACAGTAACCTCCCGCCGGGGGAAGTAGGTGCCCACCTCCAGCCTGCAAAACAGGCTGGAGTTGCATCGTATGTGGGAGTCGTGTGCCCTGCCGGACCAGCCCGCATAAATGTCTAGGAAGTGGCCACGGTGGTTCACGAGGGCCTGGAGTATGATCAAGCAGTAACATGATCTGGCATAAGCCTTATATTGATAGTTTTTTTTAAATAACTAAGAACATTGCATGAACAAAGGGATTTTTGTATTTTTAAATGCAGAGGTGAGCTAGGAAGGGTCGCAAATTAGCGGGAAGTATACATCACCAGTATTACTCATAATACCATTACAGAACTTGTACAGAGCGTTTTCCGGTAATCCCATTGTCTGTTTAGCAAATGTAAGATATGGCATGTTGACAATCCAGCTAAGAATGGAATATGAAGTCCTAAGTATGTCATCTGATTCTGCCACCAAAAAGCTGGAAGAGCTGTGCCTTTCTCCACAGGAATTCCCATTGAAACCAATTATAAGGCAAATTTTATTGTATAATTGAAAGCAAATGCTTGTTTTTGAAGTTAATGTGAGTTCTTCCTGAGTAAGGGCTGGAGGTTTTTGGCCAGATAATGTAGATTTTCAATGGCTATCTGCAGGAAATCAACTGAGATAACTGAAAAGAATTTGGGAAGAACAAGTGGCTATTAGCTGTCTATCCCTCTGCAAGTAAGCAAACAGCTCCCAGAACCTGCTGTTAGAATTATTGCACAAACCCACAGGCTATAAAATGAAGGTATAGCCATTCTGCATTACTTTGTCATGTCCTTTGTGATGCATCCAGGTGGTGGCTCTCTGGAGTGCAGGGGCGAGCCAGGCACACAACTCCAGTAACGTCAGCTTTTGCATCCAAAAGTTCTGGAGCCATTGCTGGTCATCCCATTGCCCCAGAACCAGCTGGTTCCACCAGTCCATACTGGTGTCCAGTCTTGGCGGTTCCACCAGTCCATACTGGTGTTCAGTCTCCACAGTGGCCTCTCCACGCTGGGGTGGGGATGCCACAGGGACACCATGGCCTCCCTGGTGAGGGAGTCCAAATCGATCTGCGCCTCCAGGTCCTGGAACACAAGGGTAGCAGCCTGGAGCACCAGCTGCAGGCACTCCAAAATGGCCGGCAGGGGCCAGAGCAGGCACATGGCCACCCCTGGCTCCATGGCAGACAAAGCAAGGGAGATGAAAAAAACCAAACAAAGGCACTAAGTGACAAAAGGCAGTGGTGACCAAAAAGGCAGAGGGCAACCACCAAAACTGCTACGGCTGACAGTCCCTGCAAGTGGTCCTATCGCACGCAGCAGGAGAAAAACAGCTGTCCAGGGAGATCCTTTTAAACACGTGTCTCAAAGGAGCTGCAGTCCCCACCCCCAGAAAGGGCTGGTGCCCTTTTGCCCTCTTCAAAATGGTTCTGGGCTTCTGCTTTTGCGCAAAAGCGGCCCACCAATGGCTCTAGGCTTCTGCTTTTGCGCAAAAGCGCATCGTTATAACTATAAGTCTGGGACCAATCTAGACGCACTTTTGCGCAAATACTTTTAACAGAAAAACTTTTCCATTAAAAGTATTTCCGCAAAATCATGCCAGTCTAGACATAGCCAAATAGTTTAGTTTAGGCCTAGTCTAGGGAGAAATCACACTTAAAAGAACATCAGAGATGAATGAATCTAGTTGTATATGTTAAAATATAGGAGTATAAATGTTGTTGTAGAACCTATCATTTATATATGAAGCAGCAACAAAGTGGAAAAGTCTGTACAAGGAACACAAGATTTACTACTGCAATAGCTTTGGTTAAAAGTTGTTCATAGCATTCCAAATACTATTTGAAGTACATTATTAAATATTTAATGCTTTTGTATGCATTAAATGTTTATTTTACTAACAAACTGTATGACTGTTCTCTCACTGAAGCTAGCTGAGAACTATTAATCCCTATTTTTCAGGGTTTTACATATAATACACCTGAGAGTTGACCCTACATAATATTTTGTGAGGGAAACAAAAGTCCTGAAAAGACAGAACACTACCAATAAGATTTAAGCTGAGGTACAGGAAGAAGTAGAGTGCAATATAATTATACACAGTATTGCCTGAGCATCCCCCTAACCTTGTTACAGTCACAAAGTTGAAAATCTATTTGTTTCTTGTTCTTTTTTGTTTATTGAGATGCTAGGATGTGTATGGGAATCTATTGATTAATTATCAAAATAATTAGTGATTGCTATCAGGTAACAGGAGCCCTAGACACTTCTGAAACAGACATAATGGTACTAAAAGCTAGGGATAATATGTTTTCTCTTTTGACATCAGTGCATAACTCCCACTGACTTTAACCTCATTACTTAAAAACTTTCCAAATTCCCATGGTAATTAAGGTTTGCAGTTAGCTAACTTCCGTATTTACTGTAATCAATCCATTTGCTATAGTGAGTTCAAGGGAATGCTGCAGATTATTTATCTAAAGTAAAATTGCCAGGGTTTTTCATAACCATCATTCTAGATAGATCCAGGAAGAAAAAAAAAACCAGAATGTTTTTCTTATCTGAAATTGCTTCACTTGAAAAAGTTGGGAAAAAAGGGAAATAAATTTGTAAACATATGAGGATTATATTGTCCATATACTGAGAGTTAGAAAAATAGAAATATCTCACACATATTTGTCTTTTTGTTTATTTCCTCTGTACCCTGGGTACTGATCATTTCACAAAGGTTAGGCAAAACAGAAATGTAACTGATGTCAAAATTGCTTCATTTCTTCCCCACACACATATTCTCTTAGGTGCTGTACATTTAATTTTGAAAAAAAATCAATAAGCAAAGAAAACATTGTGATGTCAAAATTGCTTCATCTCTTCCCCACACACATATTCTCTTAGATGCTGTACATTTAATTTTGAAAAAAATCAATAAGCAAAGAAAACATTTGAGAAAAGAAATTGGTCTAGTTGAATCACAGTGCTTTGTGCAATACATATGTCAAATATTTGAGGAAACAAATGGATTTTAACAGAACGTTCTTTTTTTGAAAAAGGGTGGAGCAGGCTGGACATTCAGGCTATGTCTACACTGAAGCGATCTTGTGCAATGCCGCTACGCTGATTATTTTCAGGTTTTTCTTGTGCAAGAAGGGGCCGTGTAGACAGCTCCTTCTTGTGCAAGAGCCTCTTCTGCAAAATGGCAGCTCATTATATATGCAAATGAGTCTTGGCAATATTCCACGCTTAGCCTGATTTGCATAGCTCTGGCGCAAGATCGCACCAGTGTAGACATAGCCTCAGAGTGTGTCTACACAGCAGTGTTATTCCAAAATAACATAGTCCACATCTACGCTACAAGCACTTATTTTGTCATAATGTCAAAATAATGGTGAGCTGGAGGACTTACTCCAACTCCCATAACCCTCATTTTATGAGGAGTAAGGGAAGTTGGAGGAAGAGTAAACTTCCTGCTGTGTAGACAGTGCCAAAAACCAAAATGAGCTATTTCGACCTAAGCTATGCAATTGATATAGTTGATGTTGTGTAGCTTATTTCAGCTTTAGCCTTGCTGAGTAGACATGTCCTCATTCTTACAAATAGAAATGAAGATTAGTGAAACAATTATTATTCTTCCTGGGTTTCTAACTTCATCTCCTCTTTAGAATATTAATTTCCAATTTTAAAATGAAACCTGCTGCTGACATTTTATGCAGACAGAAAATTTCAGCCTAGCTGAGTGGCAATGGCTCTCAGTAAATGTATGCAACAAAACATACACAGTCTTCTTCATTGGTGAATATGAGATTTTGTTTTTGTGCTGATCTCCCTATTATTAAAAAAAAAAAAAACCTCCACACAAGCCCCTCCCCCTCAAGCCCTAACAGAGCAAAACCCCAATATGTAAGGCAAACTGCAAAGGCAGAACAAAGCTTGTGCCTGTGAAAATAGGATTTCTGCCTTCAGATTTCAATGTGCTGACCCTGTGGAAACTACTCTGTAGGTTTCCATCTCTGGGAAATAAGAAGCGCAGGGATGGTGTAAGTGAGGGCATGACAACCACAGTCAGTCTAGTCAGAAGAAGGTTTTTGGAAGCTGTGTTGATATTTGGGGCCAGAGGGAGCTAGATAATAGAAAAGAGACAAGGGACACCTGCAGAGATTGTGACCATCTTCAGTTTAAAGGGCATAGTGTCTCTGGCTTCTTCTATGAAAGGTACACCACACCTTTCCCTGAAGAATGAGTAGGAAAATTAATGCACTGAGACTTACAGGAATCACTGTGATTTACAATGCAGGTATGGTCCCCAAGGTTAATTGAACAGAGAAATCAGAAATAACAAGGAGACACCACAGGCAATAATTACTGTGCACACTAGTTTAAAACAACAGAATATTAAGGCAAATCTTATGAAAAGCAAAGAACAGCGTATAGGTGCACACTTCTACTTGACATGCATAATGCATAATTATCTTGTGATGTGAGGGTTGAGTGATTCTAATTTCACTCAAATAATGAAACCAAACCACTTTAGCTTCTTGGTGTATCTGGCAACTTTCTGTTTTGGTTCTTGTCACTCTTTCAGTTCACTCAACAATCAGCTTCCTGGATGTAAATGACTGGAATTTCTCCTTAGCTGGTATGGGAAATATTTTTCTTGCAAAGTTAGGAGAACTGAATGAAAAATCTGGAGATGTTTTCTTCTTTGTGTACTTGATTTAAAAACCTGGAACAAAATGAAATGAAAAGCATGGGGCATTTATCATTTGCTAGGACTATCCGGATCTATCTCACCAAATCAGTTCCCTGCCACTGCAGTGGCCTTGTGCATTGGTGCACACTGGTCTCTGTTCTCTGCCCATGGTACTAAATATTTTTGTCTTTGAAAACTGAATATTATGCATATAGTCCAAGTTGTTGGGCTCAGTACAGAGGTAATTGGGTGGAGCTTAATGATCTGTGAAGTGCAAGAGATTAGACTGGAAGATCTGGCAGTCTGTTTTAAACTCTATCAAAATGTTCCTTTTCTCATCCTGATTTATTTCAAAGCATCTTCCCTCCTACACTATTTTCTCCTTTTGGATATGTCACCACTAGAGCTGTTTGAAAAGCTTTGCATCACAATTTTCTCAAAATAAATGGATTTTTGATTAAAAGATGGTTTTCTTCACAGTACTTTTGTTTTGTCCCTGAAAAAAATGGGAAAAAACAGATTCTTTAAATGTAAACATTTTTTCCTCAATTTTTCATGGAAAATATTTGTTTAGCAGGCCTGTGGTCTTCATCTTCTTAGTCTTGTTCATGTGCACAGTTCCTCCAGTTTTAACTGAATCTGAAGAGGAAGTAACTATCCTCCCTACTTTTCACTGGCATTTATTTTTTTACAGATTTTTGAAATGTAAACTTGTCAGTCATATTTCATAACAAAGATGATTTCTAGTATGTGTAGGTCTGTAAGATGATCTGAACCTTTACAGAATGAATTTATAAAGAGACATGAAAAACTGAAGGGGAAATGTTATTGTCCATTTTACCTTTCATCTAAGACAGCTGTGTTATATTCCTTTGTTCTGATATCATTCCCTAAAGTGCTGCCCAGAGAAATGCTGATTCTTGTCCTTATACTAAAACAATGGAAACATTATGTTGTCAGAATTGTATAGCAATTGTGGAAATTGGAGCTTTTCCTCGTTCTGCCTTTCAATGTGGCTTTTGGACATGGCTAGTTATTTTAAAGTCCTAAAATAAGTTTAATAAGTAATAAAGTCCTTGTACACTCCAGAAATACACTCCAGGTATGCACAATGTTGTGAAAATTATATTAAAATATGTTTTCAAAAGTCTTACTATACTCACCTCTGTGTCTTCTTACATGCAGGTTCATATGGCTGCAGTTAGGTAATAATGCACAGACCTGCAGATGCTGAAACAAAGAACTCTCAGAAACTATGCATCTTGAAATTAGCCCCAGCTCACTAGAAGTGCTGTGGCGGTAACCTTACATTAGATTGCCCCCTAATGTCAGGCTAAGAAACATGGGGCCTCAACTCCATACCTCACTAGCAACTGAGCCCCTGTTGATTATCAGGAGAGGAGTCAGATTCTCCACTACCACCCCTAGATCCCTAACTTATCCTTTTTGGATTAAACCCTAAGAGGCATTGAGAAATTTAATTTGCTAATGTATACAAACTGTTTGCTAAGAATAAATTCCCATGCTGTCCATTTTGCAAATATGTTCAAGCTATTTGCGTAACAGTGAATGGAGCTGACACTTTAATTTGTTTAGAAAGCCCTGCACGATGTTTGCTCATTTGTGACTAATTTCTAAAACACTGGCACACTTTTAAAACATATTAGTTTAACTTTTGCAAAACTCTGCCTGACTGACTCTTGCAGAATTATATTACTAAGTCTTCTCTTCCACTTTTCATGGACTTGCTGTCCTTATAGGTCAAGCCTCCTATGGTGTGAATGTATAATTGCCAGCTCAGTTGTCATTAGTGCTGGAAGATAAACGTGTATCAAGAGGGAAATACATTCCTTACTAGGTGAAAAGGGGAAGCTAGGGCTGGAAATCAAGTAGATGCTTAGCTGACTCTTGAGTATTACTGAGTTGATAACAATATATTTGTTGCTCAGTTGATTTGCTTTTGTGTCTAGTTATACATTACTGGAAAAGTACAGTTTAATCTGTAAATACTAGCTCCCATAGAAAGTGATTTTGGTGATTCAGATGGTAGTACTCATCTCTCCCTGAGTTTGTGCTGAATGAATGCTATATTATATTGCTAGTGGCTACTCAACTGCTGGGAATGTCAAATGAAAATGGAGATGTAAATTTGGACTCCTACCATTTGTGTTTACTTAGGTAGTTCACTCACAAACATTCAACAAAATCATTAGTTGGGCCCCCCTAAAATCTTGAGATTCACTTTAGAATCATGGGATTTAAAAACAAACATAAGATTTATTTTCTTTTTGGTGTTTGAGCCTTTCGGTTCACATTTTCTAGCTTTATTCCAGAAGCCTAAAAGCCAGAAATTAATTTTTTTCTGAACTAAATCTAGGGTTTTAACAACTCCCCCACTAACAGTTACAGGAAAATCACAAAATTTGGTAGCATTGTTCGTGAAAGATCTCAAGATGTTTTTTTTTATGAAAGCTGAATTGTTGAGTTCCTGTATACAGAAAATGAAAGATCTCAAGATGTTTTTTTTTTTTTATGAAAGTTGAATTGTTGAGTTCCTGTATACAGAAATACAGCTCAGGTCATTAAATGCTAATGTCCACCTGTAATTTTGTTTTCATATATTCATAGATTTGAGGACAGAAGGGACATTTAGATCATGAAGTCTGGATTTTCTGTATAATCATAGCCCATTATATTTCATTTAGGTATCTCTGTTTTAAGCACAGTAACTTGTTCATTGCTAAAGTATATCTTCCAAAAAGGCATCCATTCTTGATCTGAACACATCACAGATGGAGAATCTACCACTTTCCTAGGTAATGTGTTGCAATGATTAATCACTCTGGTGTTTAAAAATTTGTTCCTTAAAATTTGAACTTGTCTGGCTTCAGTTTCCAGCCAAGCAATTTTTCGTTCTTGCTGTGCCTTTCTCTGTTAGAGTCCTTTTATTCCCTATATTTTTGCCCTTGACAGTACTTATACACACTAAACAAGTCACCTCTCAGTCTTTTTTAAAAATAACTAACAGATTTAGCTCTTGAAGCTTCTCACTGCACAATGTTTTCTTCAGCTCTCAAATTATTGTGTCTCTTTTCTGCAGCCTCTCCAATTTTTCAGAATCCTTTTTACAAATATGGATACCAAAACTAAATGTAATATTCTAGTACCAGTCTCACACATGCTGTATACAGAGGTAAAAGCAATCCCAGGATCCATACTCCTACTCATTGGCCCTTTCTTTATACATCCCAAGATATATAAAGCCCCCTTTTCCACAACATCACATTGGGAGTTAATGTTGATGACCCCTGTGATCCTTAAATTCTTTTCAGTGTCATACCATTCCATCCACCATTCTCCAATCTATAGGTATGACCACATTCCTTATTCCTAGATGAATAACTTCCATTTGGCTGCATTAAAATGCCTTTTCTTTAGATAGCCCTATAATGGGGGGCAACTCATCATTCCTGCACATCCTGCTGGCTGTGATGGCAATTATCTCTGCTTGCCAGGATGCCTTCCTCTGATGGTGCCTAATCACCATCACTTTTGTTCAAGGATCCATGCTATTCCTAGGACTGCAGCATCCTCAATAACACTGCCCTTGGGCTGCACCACACTCTGTGTTCCCCCTCTTCCAAGGGACCTGCAATCTCTGTCCAGCTACTCCCTTTGTGGCAACTGCAGTCCATTGTCCTGGGGCTACTTCCCATGAAGCTATAGCACCTCCTCTGAACTAGCAGCCAGCCAGCTGGGAGCTCTCTCTAGCTCCCCCATTCCTCTCCCTAGGAGCCTGGTCTTCTCCCCTCAGGCTCCAGTCAACTGTTGACTTCTTCTCTGCCCTCCACTCCTTCATATATGAACCTGATTGGCTGCTCTTCTCAGCCCTCTTCTGTTTGGCTGTCTCCAGTGGAGCCTCCATAGGGTTGCTATTAATTCCTTTTCTGTCAGTGAATGGCAGCTCAGCTTCCCCATCACAAGGCCGAGCTTACCAAGTGATCCAGATTGTTCTGAAAGACCACCCTGTCCTCATTATTATTTACCATTCTGTCAGTCTTTGTGTCCTCCGCAAAATTTATCTCCCATGGGATTTTATATTAACTTCCAGATCAGTGATGAAACTGTTCACTAACATTGCCAGCCTTTGTGTCCTCCGCAAAATTTATCTGTCATGGGATTTTATATTAACTTCCAGATCAGTGATGAAACTGTTCACTAACATCAGGAACAGTATTGATCTCAGTAGAACCTACTAGTTACCTCAGCAGAAACCCACACCCCCAACTGCATGATAATTTCCTATTGAGAACTGCTTTTTGAGATCTGTCAGTTAGCCAGCTGTTAATCCATTTAATATGTACTTTCTAGATATTGTATCATGATAATTTTTAATCAAAATGTTGTGGAGTACTAATTCTTATGTTTACAAAAGTGTAAATATATTACATCTGTATAGCTAATTTTTTCAGCCAAACTTGTAATCTCATCAAAGTATCAGATCAAGTTTGACAAAATGTATTTTCCATAAACCCACACTGACTGTCATTATATTCCTGTCTTTTAATTTTAATTAATTGTATCCCATATTAGCTTTCCTGTTATTTTTCCTAGTCCTGGTATCAATGTAAATGGCAATTTGACAATTGATAACATAGTCATATCTCTTGCCTTTTTTGAATATTGGCAGAATATTAGCACTTTTCTAGTCTTCTGGAATTTCACTGGCATTCCAAGTTTTATTAAACATTAGTGATCCAGAAATATTTTCAGTCAACTCATTTGTGCAAGTTATCCAGGCTTGCTGATTCATAAAATTCTATTCAATAAGCTACTTTGATCACTTCATGTCCTAAACTGTTATGTAGTGGTGTTGTATCCTGTTAAACAATTGTTGCCTCCCATCTTATATGTAACTGCAGATAAAAGATGACCCCTTTGACACAGCCCACGGATTTAGTTTGTTTTAGGTATTTAGTTTGTAAAACACTTTATGTAGTTTAAGAATAAAAGAACAAATATGCAATTTTTAGCCTTGCTCAAATAAGAAGCACAGAAAGGCTGCCTAATAATTTAGAGAGACAAGGTGGATGAGGTAATATCTTTTATTGGGCCAACTTCTGTTGGTGAGAGAGACAAGCTTTCAAGCTTGAAAGATATTGCCTTACCCATCTTGTCTATCTAATATCCTGGGACCACACTGCTACAACAACACTGTATCTATCAATCTAGGCATTTATACTGTCATGTTATATGGAGCCACATTTCTTTTTAAAGGGAAGAAAGAAGCATATATTAGAACCGCAAACAAGCTGGCTTCCTTCTTTTTGACTAGAGACCAGTTTTTTTTAGAACTTTCAGTAAAGCAGACACATGTAGGCTAAAATTCTGTGTGGTGCCTGTAAGAGACAAAGCATACAACTTGTAGACCTAGAAAAGGGAGGCAGGTGGCTTTAAGCCATCTGTGCAGCCCTCTGAATCCTGGGCAGCTCCCAAGGGTGGAAAAACAGCTGGCATAACTTAGGTGACTTTGTGGTCTTGTCTAAGCTATGACAGCCTTCTCAGTACAGCTTTGAGAGTTGCAGCACTGCCTAGAATCTCCACAGCACTCCCTGCCACAGCCTTGCCTTGTCATGCTCATCACACTCTGGGTGTGTGAAAGGGTCTTTGAAGACATACATATCATTACTTTGCAGGGCCTATGTCAGAGAAATCCTTTCTGAGCCGGATCCAATTTTTTACTGCTCCAGCCTTTTCCCTGGCATATGGGAACTAGAGAGCAATGGATATGAAAAGGCAGATGGATTCAGAAGCTGCAGACACCTGCAGTAGTCATTTACTCTCTAATGACTTATCCGAGTGATCTGAGGGAAAAGACAAGAGTGGTGAGACAGCTCGGGATGCTAGGGATGATCTCTGTGGAATGGTAGTGATAGCGTATAAGGACTGCATCCATCTGCCTTTCAAGAGGATTGAGGTAATGGTGCTGTCCTGTCTGTGGCTATGTCTACGCTACAGAATTTTTTAGGAAAAACTGCTGTTTTTCTGAAAAAACTCACGGAGCATCCACATCTCAAGCATGTTTTTGCACAAGAAAATCGAAAGAACAGAGGGAGTTTTCTGGCATAGGTATTCCTCATTCTATGAGAAAGAAGGCTTTTTTGTGAAAGAGCTCTTTTCGATGTGCTTTTGCAGTGTGGATGCACTCCTGCACAAGAAGACTTGTGGAA